GTGTGTATTGTTTGGTCAGAAGCCACAGGAGTGAGTTCAGTTGCAGACCTGAAGGGTAACCAGGGGTCATAGTCTCAGGGGTCTCACCAGGCTCTATCAGACCAGCAAACCTGGTCTTGTTGTTGTTTTTTTCCACATTGTTCTCCCTCTATGCAGGGTCTGCTGCACAGGTCCCCCTGAGTGGTTGACAGTGGTAGCCGGGTACCATCTAGCTCTGGTCTCATGGTCATATATGCTAACAAGCACATGGCCCACTAGTCTGAGTTGTCTGTCTTGACCGGATGTAAGATGCTCAGGCAGTGTGGGTCCTGTTTGTGCCCCTCTTTTCTCCTCCCCCAAGGACAAGAATTTTGATGCTCTGAAAATGGGGCCTCCCAAGGACTCTGTCTTGGACAGGTCCCTACTCAAGCTTTGCTTCTTCTGGGGTCTGTAGCCTTGAACCCCACAACAGTTCATGTCCAGCCAACAGCCCACCCAGAACCAGGGTCAGGAGCTCAGGAGAGCGGCCAGAAGCAGCCCCTGGGCCTGGGATGCTGTTTAGTAACTATGCCTGGGTCCAGAGCTAAATTCCCAAGGGACCTGTTTCTGTTGAGAGAGCAAGTCCCCCAGAGGTAAATGTTTCTGATGAACAAGCAATGCCTGCTGCTGCTTATTCAGAAGCCCCAGCGGCCCCTGCCCCGCCCCTCCTCTCCCCGCCCCTCCTCTCCCCTTCCAGGAAGCACAAAGGTTAGGATCGGAAGGCACAGGTTCTCTGCCACCATCCCAGAATCTGAGGCTCAGTTAACGCATCTGAGAATCAGCAGGAAAATCTCTGCTCCCCAGGAGAGCTCACACCTGTCCACGTGGACTGCCGTCAGTACCAGTCCTCTTCCTTGGATCCTGAGACAGAGGCCAAGGTAGGTGAGGAAGGACGTTTACTCAGGCCCGACCCCTTGATCCGTCCACACGTGTACAAATACATACTCAAACCCAGGAAAACAGTAGTGAGACTTGTGACCTCCCTTCCTCCCGTCCCTCCTGTACCGTCTTCCCAGTGGGGCCCCTGCCTGGTGGCTCCCTTCCAAATCGGGGAGATGGAGTCGGGGGTCACTTCTTGGCAGCTTCTGCCTGGGCTGCCAAGTCTGCCTCTTTCTGGGCAGCCAGGAACACAGCTTGCTCCTTCTGAAAAGCTGCCAGCTCCTCCAAACTGAGGCTGCAGGTGCAGGAAACAGACAGCAGGTGAGTGACGGCTCTGGTGGGGGGCTCACAAGTGCCCTGTCACTGTCTCAGAATCCAGCCCGCCCAGCCCCTTCTCGCTCCTTTTACTTCCCAGCCTTGTTTCCTTGCTTGTTCGTTCCCCGATCAGGGAGCTCACCCCACCCCTGCCCGCCTTCTCCTCTCTTACCACCAGCTCTACTTATCTTTTGATGCTCTGGCTACAGCCCAGTCCAGTTACTCAGCCCCTCCCCGGGGCCCCCAAACACTCTGTACAATGAAGTCATGAAGCCACACGTGTCTCCCCCAGGGCAGGGGTCAGATTTACTCATCTCTGTTCTCCCAGGAAAAGTCAATGTTTGAGAAAAGTCATGGCCATCCTTGCTCCAAAAGATCTGATAGCATAGTGCATAAGGCATCTGACTACTAACCAGAAGGCTGGTGGTCCCAACCCACCAGCCACTCCGCAGAAGAATGGCTGGGCAATCTACTTCCATGAAGATGTACCACCTTGGAAACCCAAAGGGGGTCGCTATGAGTCGGAATCAAGTTGATGGCAGTGAGTTTCTTTTTTGTTACTCCTGCTCCAGGCTAACCCTACTCCTCTTGGGAAACACGCAGTTCCAGCCCTGGCCTGGGGTGTGACCCAGGCAGCAAGAGGGTGGGAGAGTCGATCCTTTACTGCTGGACAATGCTGGGCATCATGGGACAATGCCATCCCTGCTGCTGTTGGGCCACCCATCCCCTTACTTCAAGCAAACAATGTCTGAGATCGTTGGAAGGGCTTTCCTGGCAGGTCTGTTTGTCTGGCAACCCCTGCCCCCATCTGCCACTCGGCCCTGGCACTATCCACCTGTGGTGCAGTGAATGACTTGACTCTTCCAGCCATGGTCTTTGTAACTCCCACCAGAGTACTGGGTGGGACCATGCAAATAAGGTATATGGAACGCTAATGCCAGGACTGGTTAGTTTTGCCATGGTACTGGCTTAAAATGAGCCCCCCTAGAGGCAGAGGAGGGGATCTCACTGCCATCAAGAGATGAGCTGGAGGTGAAGTGAAGCATGTCCTGGATCCGAGATCCCTGGGCTGGACATTCTTGGCAGAGACGCCTCACAGAGACAAGAGTGGCAGCGGAACCAAGAGGAAGAAGTCACAGTGGCAGGCTTTCTGGCCCAAAGAAGAAACTGAGTAAACCTTGGGCAGGAGGCTTGTGGGCAGAGTAGGGTGCACCTAGGTGCTCCCATCAGCAGAGCTAAAAGAGCTTTGCCTGAGCAGGGCAGAGGCCAGGCTGAGAGACCAAGGGCCCAAGAGGCATGCCTGAGGGCAGAGCAGAGAGGAGACTGACCTGATCAAAGAACTGTATCCTGAGCGCGTTCCTGAACCTGAACTGTGGCCTGTTACTTCCCTAATAAAACCCCATAATCATAAGTATTGTCTGGGAGTTCTGTGTGGCCACTGTAATAAATTATTGAACCCAGCAGAGAAGTAGTGAGTGCTGTGGGAGGGACACAGTTGGTGTCAGAATTAGTGAAAAGGCTGGAGGATGGGGGCACGCCTGGCCTCATAGGAATAAGCCTTGTGCTGCTCAAAGTGATCCTGCTTCCCCCTTGGAGGTTGTAGGTGGTCAGAGGATGCCACCCCCACGCCCTTTTGGCAACACCCATAACACACTGAACTCCTCTGCCTTGGCCTGCCGCCTTCAGAGAGATCTTTCTCCTTCTTGAACATGTCCCCTCAGTCCTTGACCTGGCTGATCCCTGCCCCCTTTCCCAGGTCTCTGCTTAGGGCTACCTCTGCCCAAAGCCCTCGCTGACACACCATGCGAACTTGGGAGTCCTCTTCTCTGCTCCTGTGACACCTGACTTCCTGTACCCAACACTGACCACCCCGCAGTCTAACACTCCATTTACAGACCTGCCACCTGCCCTGGACTCTGCGCTCTGGGGGAGCATGGCTGCCTCATTCCTGGTTGTATCCAATGCCCCGAACCATGTCTAACACACAACGGGTACTTAGTGAGTACACACTAGCTGAATGAAGGAGATTCAGAAGCTGGCTCCCCCACAGTCGGGGCTGTCGGCTTTGCCTGCGCCCCACAGCCCACCTCCCCAAGACACTCACTCTTTTACCACTCGGATGCCCAGGGAACGAGCAGAACCGATGATGGAGCGGACCACAGAGGACAGGGCCGCGTCCTGCAGGGCAAAGGCGTCATCCTTAGCTTTGACCAGGGCGATCTCATACACGTGCTTCAGGGTCACCAGGCCTGCCACCTCTTTCCCTGAGAAGAGAGAACAAACAGCCCTTCACGTGTCACTGCGGCCTTCCAGGGAACCCTTGAATCCCTGGCACCCCTCCTGGACCCCCCAGCCTTCACCTGTGTGCCGGGCCCCCTTCTCAATCCCAGCGGCTGCCTTCAGGAAGTAGGAAACAGTGGGCTGTCCAATCTTGATTTCAAATGTCCTATCAGGCTGAAAAGAAAGAAGAAACATGAGATCATCTCTTCCCGCTTGTTCCGATCCAGGGAGCTTCTAACCTCCTGTCCTTTCAACTCACCTTCTGGGGTGTCCCTGTAACAGACCACAAAGCCACAGGGAAATGCCAGCCTGCAGCAAACACCCCGTTACCTCTATTCCAGGCCCAGCTCTGCCCGCGAAGCCCCAGGGAGAGGGAGGAGCACCCTGAAGGCCAGCGAGGGCCCTCGCAAAGGCAGGGTCCGGTCTTCACCACGTAAATGGGGAACGTGGGGGCTGACACCGGAAGAGGCTCGCCCGGAGTCGGAGCGGAGTAGCAAGCTCAGCTGCCTAGCTCCAGGCTCAAGGGGGGACAGGCAGGGACGAGGACAGCCGACTCCGCACCTTCACAAAAATCTTGGTCGGCAGGGGGATGCCTTCTTTGATGTCCTTCGTCTTCTCGTTGAACTCCTTGCAGAACTGGTTGATGGAAACGCCTCGCTGTGACGGAAGCACAGGGAGCGGATGTGGGTGACAGGGACGGCTTGCTACCACCCGAAGGTTCCGTCCCTTCCCTCCTCCGTCTACAGTCCCTTGTGCTCCGTTCCTCTCCCCTCTGCCCCGGACCAACTCCACTCTCTGTGTCAGGTGGTTGGCACGCCTCGCCATAGCCCATACAAAGGCTCGGAAAGATGGCATGACGAACGCAGAAGACATAAAGCACATGACGCAGAGCCCAGCTTTGAACTTAGGTCTCCGTGGCTCCAAAGCCCGCACCCTCCACCTGCATACTCGCCCCTACCCTCCGGAACCTCCCATGCCGGCGCCGGCGCCTGCCGCGGTCAAACCTGACCCAGGATGGGGCCCAGAGGGGGCCCGGGCATGGCCTGACCCGCCCGCACAATGGACCGGATCACGCCGCCGGCCTCTGGCTTCTTGAGGGTCCGAGTAGCCCGGCTTAGCTTCGACATGATGCAGGGATCCCGTCTTTAGTTCACCTCACGGCAGAAACTACAGCAACGCTCTGGGCGCCGCCATTTTGGGCCAGAGGTCAAGGGTCCTCACAGGGTCCTGATTTCCTCTTAGGCCGACAAATAGAAGAGTTGTTTCAGTCTTTCTCCTCACCAACTAATAATAACAAAGACGGCGAGAAGAAGAGAAAAACTTCTACCTAATCTTATGCAGATAAGAGGCCCTCTGCGAAGAAAGATATGGCAGTCGGCTTCCGTAAGGATTGTAGCCTTGGAAACCGTAGGGAGCAGTTTTACCCGGCCCTGTAGTGTCGGTGAGCCGGAATTGACTCGATGGCAACTGGTTTGGTTTGGTTTTGGTTTCTGAAGATAGAGGAAAAATCCGAATGATCCCGCTCTATTTTTTTTTTCCCTAGAGCGTGCACAGGCAGTGCTTTGGACAGCTAAACAGGAGGAAGGCGAAACCTTGCTACCCGCACTGCATTGTGGATACGGTAGTTTACACACCCACACACCCTTAGAAGTCCAGCAGATTTCTGGGGCGCCATCTGCTGGACAAGATGATAATCCTTGGGTTGAAATTAACCTGCTGGGTGCCCTGCAGTCGATTTCGATTCATAGCGACCCCCTGTGATATAGTAGAACTGTCCCATCGGGTTTTCTAGGCTGTACTCTTTATAGGGGCGGATCAGCACATCTTTCACCCCGAGAGCCCCTGGATGAGTTCGAACTGAAACTTTTCCGTTAGCCGCCTAGGACTTAACCATCGCATCACCAGGGCTCCTGAAATGAACCTAGAACCTGATTTTAGGAACGCGATTCTCTTTACTTTCGAAGTCTGTTCTGACGACGCAGTGGTTAAAGCGTTCGACTGCTAACCTAAAGGATGGCGGTTGGATCCTAGCAGCCACTGTGCGGGGTCCCTGTGAGTGGGAATTGAATGGATGGCGGTGGATTTGTTTTTTCGGTTTTGATGAAACAATATGATTGCGAGTGTTATGGTTTCAATTTAAAATAATAGCCACTATAATGTCTACTTTTTGGTAAAAGAGTTTTATTTAGGCTCGCTGACTGCAGGGAGCTGAAACGCACTCCTATGCTGCCGTGTCCTGTGCTTTGTAAGGGCTGTTATAAAGGTTAAAACACATCCTGTTTGGCTCGTACCTTAGGAGTTTTTGCAAGCAATAGTACAGAAGCAAAAGTAGTGGATAGTTACACTCCTTTATCCTAAGAACACAGGGTACATTTCGGGCACAGAGAAATTACAGTTGATTACATTTCACGGTTCCCAGAACCCAGGGTAGTTCCGGGAACTGCTGGTGCTAGCTAAGGCTGTTTATTGAGGGTTGAGTGGTGTTGGCTTTGATCAAGGGGTGAGGGCTGTTTGGCTTTGATAGCCATTTCATTCCCTACTGTTTGTATTTGGGAATTAAATCCTTGATTCATCCGCATCTACTCCTCGGTTGAGTGCTGCATACTGAGTTTGGAGTACCATAAGTTTGACTGCCCCAATTCTATTTTGGATAAATCTGATGAGGGCGTTGAGTACGTATGGGCCTACTAAGAGTCCCATAAGAAGTAGTAGTAAGGGGCCTGCTAGACTGGTGATCAGGGTGGTAGCCTATGGGGACCAATCATATAAGTTTTGGTACCAACTTTTTGTGGAGCTCAATTTTTCTTGTCTTTGCTTTATATTGTTTCTAACCATAGCTTAAGTTTCTCTAATGACTCCAGTTTTATTGGCATAGAAGCAACACTTCTCTCCCAGGGCTGCACACAATCCACCTTGTCTAAGAAATAGTCTAGCTCTCTGCGATTCTATAATGCTACTTCTGCTAAGGATTCTAACTGTTCAGAAAGTTCTGAAATGGCATACTTTATTTTACTCAGATGAGCCTTAATACTTTGGGTGAGCCCTCGAAGATTTTGGTCTTGTGTAACCAAGGCGGAAATCCCTATGGCTGCGGATCTTGCAATGCCTAAACCCACTAGTAAGGGGACGAGCATAGGTGCCCACTTATGTCTAGGGTATTCAGGTGCCGTGATGAGAGTTTGCCCCTGGTCGTCCTTATATATATCAATTCAAGGCAGGACATATGCCTGAGTGCATAACTCTGCAGTTTTTGAGGCATTATAAGCATATGTGGATATGCATGTGGAGAGACCAAAAGAGTAGGAGAACCACATCCCCTCAGAGGCGAGAAAATAGACAGGGGTTCCATTGTAATGCATGTAAGTGGTCTGATTGCAGTATGATCTGAATCTTGATTGTAATATGTTGTAGTCAGGAGAAACATAACAACTTCCCGTACCCTGTAGGTCCCCTAGAGTAAGGTGGACTGTTTGGAAACTGCATTCCTGCGTGGCTTTGTTCACCCTTTGTTGGACCCCTAGTCCTACATAAAATGGGGGTTTGGGGTTAAGACATAGCCAGCAATGCTGCATGGGGTCGCTATGAGTCAGAAACGACTCGACGGCACTTAACAACAACAACAACACAGCAATGCTGAGCCAACTCGGGATTTGAGCTACTTAAGACAGCAAGGGTGCTAGACAATAAATGGAGTAAAGGGGTTTCAGGACTCCGAGAGAGACTGGGGTTTCCTGTATGACTGGGGGAAGATGGAGAGGAAAAGTTTGGTCGAGGCCGTCTAGGGGTCTGGGGAGGTTGTGGGTTGTAGATAGATAATTTAGCTCCAGGGCCTGAGGGTAACAGTGGGCAGTGTTGGACTTTCCTCTGAATGGTGAAGAAGTTCCCCCTATCCCTACTGCTTTCATACAGTCTAACCCCCCAAGTGTGGCCGACTTTCCAGAGCTGAGTTAAGTCATTAGGGTATTAGGGTGTAGGATGGTTAGGTTTAGGGGGTTGCAGCTTCCTTGTGCACAAGAGGTGGGTGGAGTGAGGTGCTGTACCTGGAGGTACTTGTCCTTCTGCTTTTGATGTCCTGTTATGGTAGAAATTGTTTCACAACCCCAAGCTGGACAGTAGAATGCTCCTGGGTCGTCACACTGCCTGTGTTTCTGATTGTGTGACCCTGGGCAGAGAGAAATCCCTATTCTCTGGAGATTCTTTTCTAGTTCCCGGTGTCCACACCCTGCCTCCATGATGTGTTTCTACTTAACACTGGTGACCTTCCCCTGAACAGTGGCTCCTGGTACCTACCCTAAGGCACAGAGATCCAGGGTGATTCTGAAAGGTAAGGGAGAGCCACTGCTTTGGGTAACATCGCAAACCTCTGTTCCTGTTGTCCCTTCTACTATCGTCCAAGTGTATTGGGTAGGGGCCACCTTCCACCCTGTTCCTGGACCAATTATGACACTTATGATTAGTAGGGTTAATGGGGAGGTCGCATTCGTGAAAGTCTTAGTTTGAGGGGATGTTCCAGATCCTTGAAGGCCTGCCATTGCAAGTCGGGAGGTGCCAGCTTCAGATGTGTGTCATGAATCCACGGTGTAAGGCCATCCACTTTTACGGCAGTGGGTGTGGTCAAGGCCACAGTGCAAGGTCCCTTCCAACATGGGGTCAATCCTGTAGCTGTGTGTCTCTTTACAAGGACTAGATCCCCTGGCTGGTAATGGTGTAAAGGTTCAGTAAGGGCGGAAGGTGTTGGTTCTGGGAGTCCAGTCGTTGCACTTCTTTAGTGGGACTCAATCGCCTGGATAGAAACTATGAAGGGGAATATCTGTAGGACACAACCTGCTGGAAGCAAACTGGTTAATAATTTTTAGTGTTGCAGACAAAATTTTCACATGTTTTAAAATATTCAATTTGTTAACAATATTTAAGGTCTCCCTTTCCTGCATAACTAGGATGCCACACTCTAGAAAATGGTCTCCCATGTAATATTTCATATGGGCTTAACTTAAGCCTGCTTCTGGGAGTAACCTGAACCTGTAATAGGGCAAGAAGTAAAGGTTTTATCTAAGATAAGTTGGTCTCTTGGCACATTTTAGCCAGTATCTTCTTAAACGTGTGCTTCATCTTCTCAGTTTTCCCTGTCAATAGGCTAGTCCTGTTACTTGTTGGACTACTGTGAACTGAGACTAGCAAACTAAACTGGGGACAATTTAATAGGGTTTACTCACCTCTGTTGCTTTTTCATGCTGTAGGGAAAGGTTTCCACCCATCCAGTGAAAGTATCTATAAATACTAACAAGTTCTTGATTTTTCAGGGGTTACAAATTTTATCTGCCAGTCCTTGCATAGGCGCAGTCCTGTTGTTTGAATTCCTCTCGCCACTGGAGGTGGACTGCACTTTGGATTGCTTCTGGCATAGGTCAAGCAGCCTTGTATAACATTTTGGATGGTTTTGTAAAGATCCAATCCTACAATAAGTTTACTCAGCCTAGCATACAGGGCATCTTTTTCTATAACGAGTGCTGGTTACAGTGACAGTTCTGTCTTTTGTAGTCCATAGCAGCAGGGGATTGTCTGTAAGGCCTATACCTGATCAGGGGTAACATTCACCTGGAGCTTGTTAGCTGAGAGAGTAACCTCAGTATTTGACTTGGTTATTAAATCTTATTCCAACAGAGGAACAGGGTATTCAGGTATGAAAACTTTCAAGTTAATGCAGTACTCCTATCCCGGTATTCAAGAGGTTGAAGAAAATTTTTTACATTACCAAAACTCCAGTAATGCTTGTAGTCTTCTGGGACAAAGGGGCCTTGGGGATGTTTAGGGCTGAGGTTGCTCCTGTGCTCAGTAGAGATTTAATGGGCCATTTTTTCCCATAGTTATTGCCACCCAGGCTCCTCGTAAGAGATAGAAGCTTGCCCAGTCTGCAGCAGAGCCTCTGGGCCCTGTCATTCTTGATCGCTGTCAGCTATGCTTACCACCTGTTGGGCCCCTTTCGGTAGCTCGCTCTGGGCACCAAGCACACTGTTGAGACCTCAGTTTTGTTGATTGGTACTCTCGAGGGGAAGCTTGACTTGCTCCCCTTCTACTCGTTGGGGCCCATGGGGACTTACCCGGCAGATTGACTTCATGGTGGGCCTCC